TCTTTAAATGTATAAATTTACTTCAATAAACTGTTAACTTGTGTATTGTGTTGTTTTTTGTTTTGTTTTTACATATTTTTATTTCATGTGCATTGGTGTTTTGCCTGCGTGTATATCTGTGTGAGGGTGTTGGGTCTCCTGGAACAGGAGTTACAGACAGTTGTGAGCTGCCATGTGGGTGCTGGAATTGAACTGGAATTGAACACTGAGCTATCTCTTCAGCCCTTGTGTACTGGTGTGTGTGTGTGTGTGTGTGTGTGTGTGTGTGTGTGTGTGTGTGCACATGTATGTAGAGGACAGCCCTTCAATGTCATTCCTCCAGTGTTGACCATCTTGATTTTTCTAGTGTGTGTTTGTGTGTGTATATGTTTGTGCACTCATGTGAACATGTGTGCATGTGTGTGTGAGTGTGGAGACCGGAGATCCACATCGGGTCTCTTCTGAAGTCACTCCCCACCTATTTTTTGAGACAGGAGCCACTGAACCTGGAGCTACCCATTCAGGCTAAACTAGCTGGCCAGTGAGCCCCCGGGATCCTGTTTCCCAGCACTGAGATTACAGGTAAGTAGTCTACACCCTGCTTTTATGTGGATGCTGGGGATCCAAATTCAGGTCCTCACACTTGAGCAACAATTTACCAACACAGCAGAGAACTCCCTAGACTCCTCTGCCTCTTCGAAATTCGTTCTGAATCAGGATTTTTCACTAATGACCTGAACTTGCCAAGTAGGCTGGGCTGTCTGTCTGGTCAGTCCCAGGGATCTGTCTGTCTCTGTCTTCACAGCTTTAGTGTTGTAAGTATGTGCTAGTACACCTGGCTCTTTGGTTTGGGTTTGGTTTTTCGAGACAGGGTTTCCCTGTGTAGCCCCGTCACACCTGGCTTTTTAAATGGAGGCGCTAAGGCTCAAACTCCAGTCCTCACACTTGCAAGGCAAACACTTCACCAGCTGAAGCTTTCTCCCACCACAGCCCTAACTTGATCATTTCTTAAGAGCTTTTTAGATGCCAATCATTGGAAACACATTTTGTATGCCCCAGAGATCCCCCAAGATAACATGTCCTCAATGAAGACTGCCAGTGGTCTCACAAAGTACATTCAGACTTGAGGTTGCAAGCGAAACCTTACACTGGAGGAACCCTGGGCTCTGTCACCAGACACCAGATGAGGGAAAATTATTTATGTTTGGGGGGGGGGAGAAACAGTAGTGGGCTTCACCTCTTTGTTATGCCTTGGTTTCTGTAGTACTGTGGAGTAGCCCTTAGGGGGAGCCAGCCAGGTGAGCACTCTGCCGCTGAGCCATGTCTCCTGTCCAGAAGCAGTGTTTTGATCGCTTCAAAGCACACTGGGCTGTGTAAAGGGATTATCAGCAGGCCTGAGCTATCAGGAGGGCTTAGGATCCCGTTTCCTTGGAAACTACCATGTGGAGATAGATGTGGGATGCTGTCATTGGAAACCTTATCTAAAGCTCTGCACCTGTCTCAGACACCGGGGATGCTCCTCGGTGTCCAAATCACCCAAACCTTCCAGGTAAGAGTAAAACGTTCCATTTGCACAGATATTTCAAACAACATTTCTGACAGTCTAGGACTTTGAGAGTAAGATCTCTGAGCATTAGTCCTTTTGTTAATTAACAGCAAAAACAAAAAAAAAAAACAAAAACAGTCTCCCCAGGATTTCCATTAAGATATGATTTGCTTCTTTGTATAGGTAAGAGAATTGGCATGCTCTGAGATTCTGGGTCCTTGCCCAGTGTCATACAGCTGTTAAGTGGCAGCCAGAATTCAGACATCCTCTGTAGCCCAGGATTACCAGCCCTGCCTAAAAGATGTGCATGCATGTGTTCTTAAACCAGCTGTAGCTCACAGCAGCGGCTTCCAGGACTAAACAGCATTCTCCAGACTTTGTTTTATTGAACCAGAATGCAGATAGAAAGTATTCTGTTCAATGTGTCGAGTTGTCCACTCCACTAAGTACCAGACAAACCGAGACAGAATCCTCATCAGCCCAGAAACTTCCAGCTTATGCTCCTTCTAACCAACTGCCCTCCGCCACCAGATGTCACTTTCTGATTTTTATGGCTTCATGTTATCATTATTGTAATACATCTGGTGGCTCACTCCAAGCGGCTTTGTTTGTTTGTTTTGTTTTTCCTATTCTGACAATTGGTTTCTGTTTTGTTTTTCTGAGACAGTGTGTCTCTATGTAGTCAAGGCTCAAGGATGGCCCCAAACTCACAGAGATCAGCAAGCTTCTACTCACCAGGTGCTGAGAGTGCCACCATAGCCTGATCCGTTCTGACAATCTTTCATGGTTATTTGTTGAGGAAAAACACTTGTGATTTTATATTTGGCTTAGTGAGCATTGGTTAATATCAAAACAGTTACCAGGGCTGGGGTAGAGCTCTGTGGTGAAGCACGGGAGGGAGAGGAGGGGAGGAGAGGAGAGGGAACAGGGAGGAGAGCAAACTTTCAGGGAAGATAAACTATAAAATTGTGGAAAAAAGAAAAATGTTAAGTCTGGACATGGGCGTAGTGGTGCATGACTTTAATCCCAGCACTCAGGAGGCAGATCTCTGTGAGTTCAAGGCTAGCCTGATTTACAAAGCTAGTTTCAGGACAGCTAGGGCTGTTACACAGAGAAACCCTGCCTCAAAGCCCCCCCCCCAAAAAAAAAATTGAGAAAGAGAAAAAAGATAGACAATATTTTTTATACCCATCGAGGACTGAGACTTTCTAACATGGTTGGGGCTCCAATTGGTCCAAAGGGAGAACAACTACAATTAATTATTTGGAAAATTAATTGGCTATAAAGAATTAGCTAAAATGAAAAGATATTAACTGGAAAATAAAGTTCTTTGTTAGATTTTTATTTTTTATTTTTCAAGACAGGGTTTTTCTATGTAGCCCTGACTGTCCTGGAATTCTCTCTGTATACAGGCTGGCCTCAAACTTAGAGAGATCTGCCTGCCTCTGCCTCCAGAGAGCTGGGATTAAAGATGTGCAACTGAGTCTATATCGCCCAGGGTGGCCTTGAACTCATGATCCTCCTACCTTAACCTCCGGAGTGCTGGGATTACTAGCATGTGCCACCATACCCAGCATGACCTCACTTTTCAAGCAAGATTGAAAATATGCTGGGACAGTCCTCTAACTGCTGAGAAACAGAGAAGTCATCAATTCCAGTGATAGCTAAAAAATATAAACTACTTTTCAAAGTGTCAATCAATTTCAGAACTTAATTCCACAAGCTGAGATCAGTGTGGAGGCCACCTCCACGATGGACAATAGCAGTTCTCTTTTTAAATACTGTGTATGTGGACCCGAGTGTCTGTATGTGTACATGTGTGGGCAGGAGCCTGCAGAGGTCAAGAGGGTCTCAGATCCCCTGGAACTGTGTTCCAGACAGTTGTTCAATGGCGTGTTGGTGCTGGGAACTGAGCCCATGTCCTCCAAAAGAGCAGGGTTCACTTTTTTAAAAGATTTTTATTGGCTGGGCAGTGGTGGCACATGCCTTTAATCCCAGCACTCAACTCAGGAGGCAGAGGTGCCCTCAGAAGTCAGATCCCCTGGGACTGGCAGTATAGATGATTGTGAGCTACCATGTGGATGCTGGGAACTGAACCTGAGTCCTCTGGAAGAATATCCCATGCTCTTAACCATGGAGTCATCTCTCTCCACCTCAATGCTGTGGGAGGACCCTTCTGTACGCTGTGAATGTATGTAGCTCTCACTGGTTGATAATAAAAGCTGATTTAGCAAGCCAACAGAAATACAGGAAGAGAAAGGGCAGACTTGTAGGTCACCAGCTAGACCCAGAGGAAGCAAAATAAGAATGTTGTACTGAGAAAAGTACCAAGCCACATGGCTAAACATAGATAAGACTTATGGGTTAATTTAAGTGTAAGAGCTAGCTAGTTAGTAATAAGCCTCTGTGTGATAATTTGGGAAGCGGCTGCTGGGTATTTGGGAGTTGCTGGCAGGATAGAAACTCCCCTCCAATTACACCTAAATCCCAGTGATTCTTGCTCCTGGAATGAACACGTGCGCCCTCCCTTCTCATGCTGGAATGTTGGTGATTTTGCCTCTGCAACCAATAGGATAGTGGAGAAATTATGGGAATGTCTTGTCTGAAGCCAGGACATGAAACACAGTGGAGCTTTTGCCTTGCTCTTGGATCTGGTTTAGTTCCAGAAGCTACTCCATGTGGCAGTGGTAGTCAGAATAGTTCCCATCCCACAGGCACTTCTACTGTCGTTAAACCACCAGGAGGAAAGATCTGTGTCCTCTCCTCAAGTCTGCATGGGTTTCTGACTCCTTTAACATGAGTGTGTGTACAGGGGCCATGAGGGCATGTGAGCTCTGGAGCAGATGAGATGGAACACAGCTACTGCCTTATCATTGTAACAGTGCTGCCTGGAGTCTTCCGGTGCTGCGTCTGATTACCTCAAGGCCACCATGCCAGGGAAGGCTATGTTCTACAGAAGGGACACAAGTGACCGATAGCACTGTTCCGCTTCCACCTCGCCCAGCCCAAGTGCAGGTGAATGAGCACTGAGTAGACTAACTCCAGGCCATGATCTCTCAATCTTCCTAGCTGAAAACCTAGATATGGAACAGAAACCAATTCTTGTCCTTACTCTGTTGAAATTATCCAACAGGACCTGTACGCATTTCAAAATTGTTTTGAGTCATTAAAATTTGGTCATTTATCTTATAGTAATAGTAACAAGAACCCCCTGTTACTGCTGACGGGTTTTAAATTCCCCATTAGTCTACAAACAGGATAAACTTAGGGTGCCAGGAAAGAGTACATTATGTCTACAGGTAAATCAGCAAGAAATAAACACAGGGGCCAGGTGCAGCTCAGTGGTTCAGTGTGTGCATAGCCTGAGCAAGGCCCTGGGTTCCACCCCCAGAACAGAGAAGAGCAGGGGAGGGGAGAGCAAAGGAAGGGAGAGGAGAAGGGGAGACAGAACCCAGGAACTGAATCCAAATAGTCATCTGAGTCGATATGAATTTTATTAACACACATTTGTCAAAGTCTGTACAAACCAAAACATTCCTATGTTTTAAAATGTCCATTATTACAAACATACAAAGGAACAGAAGGTGTTACCAAAAGTTACTCAATTTCATGGTAAAATGCTGTCATGATTTTTAAAAAAAAAATCAACATTTCAAGACTGAGGTTTCCTCTTTACTGTTCAGGAGCTCATGGTAGTTTAGAAAATGTATAGGTTTGCTGAATATTAAATGCTAAGACCTTAAAAAAAGATTTAGTATAAAACTAAATGAGCGTCTGTGTACTGTCACATTTCCCATGCACGATTTCTCAGTTCTACCTTTTGTTTAAGAGACCAGGACTGTCATTCTCTTTCTACCATCTTTTTCCACAGCCAACACAAATGACCTGAAAAATAGCGTATGGTAATATATCTTTACCTAAAAGTTTCTCATTCAGAAAGTTACAAAACGATTCAGCAAGGCAGTTTCCCCTGCTTAGAAGGGAAAGCTGCATTCCCTACCAAAGAACTATATAAACATGTCCTTCGAGCCTCCTGTCGGAAAGAGCCCTCATGTCCGTATCTCTGTCCATGTGTCTGAGAAGGCCACCGCAAACTAGAGAGCACTGTGGACAAGTGACCGTGACTGCTCTGACGCTGGTGGACTGTGGTACAAATGTCACCTGTCTCCATGATCTGCTCTAACGCCAGCAGCACCTGCACTGATTCCAAGGTTTGTTCTGGGTCAGGGCACATACTACGCATTTCTAGTTTCTTTCACAAAAATCCAAGAGTGAGGCTCCACATCCGAACCTCTCCCTTCCCACCTGCCTACTGGGTCACGATGGGAGAAGGGCACACTCGGGGAGGCCCCGCTGCTGCCAGGAGCCCTTGCTTTGTAAACATTCTCAGTCAGAACAGGGAGCTCACAGGATGGGGGTTGCAGAGGGAGGAAGTGCGGTGAGACTCCTCCCCATCACACAGCCCACGCCTAAGCAGTCCATGTCAACCCCTGGAAACACACAAGAGTTCAAATCTCATCCCACTTGATCTGCTCATGTTAAAAAAAAAAAAAAAAAAAAAAAAAAAAAAAAAAAAACGTGCTCTGTTGACAGCCTGGCGTGACAGCTGACACGAGCGGATGTTTTTAAAAAAGAAGTGGCAGTGTGGGAATTTAACATTATGTGAAAGAAGAGGGAGGGGGAGGAGGGAAGTGTCCAGTACAACCTGGACAACCGTTCTTTCTGCCCTTACTTAAAGACAGACTGGTCAATTCTCTGCACCCTAAGCATCTCCTCAAATGCTCTTCCACAGAGTCCTCCAAAGGCACTTAGCTCCACACTTACACCTCCAGCATTTACCTTAGCCTCAAGACTCTAAGGTAACGAGAAAAAAAAGATTGGATTCTTTTACTAAAAGCTAGCAAACAGGTCTGTTTTTTTTTTCTTTGTTTTTGAAGAGGCATTGCTTTTACAAGAACTAGCCAGGCTACCATCATTCCTTTATCAAGAAAAGGTTTCCTTTTTAAAAAATAAATAAAACTCTGTCTATACATAGTACAAAGGTCATACATAATATACCTGGAAAAACCCAAGAGTATACCCTGAAGCAAAAAGTTTATTGGCGAGAGAAAGCCTCTCTCAGCGCACGAAGTCTTAAGGTGGCAGTTCTCAAGGTTCAGAGGGCGGCAGTGATGCACAGTGGATGACAGGTTACTTGCTCGTGGGGATGGCAGGTGTGCCGGTGGACAGACACTCTGCACAGAACTCTGAGCAGTGACCACTATGGAAAACGTCGAGTACTAAAACAGAGGGAGGGAGGAGCACTGGGGAGCGGAGGAGGGAGAGGAGGAGGAGTAGGTCTGAAACCCCAAATGCTCAGCATGCAGTCGTAACACGGCACAAACCAGGTGTGTCCATTCAGCCCACTACATTCGCACAAAGGGTAATGGTAAGAAAATAGAGATTTTGTAAGAAAGCACAATTCCCAGAGAACAGCCGGGCTGCTGACCCTGACCCAGGAGCGCCGGCTGTTGTTGCTGGGAGCCGGGAGCCTTCTTGTGGTCCTCACGGAGACGTTATGGTGCCTGACTTCTCAGACTTCTTGCTCTTGGACAAAGCAGCTGCCTGTTTGAGAAGCTCTCGGTTTTTGGCCTAAAAATAATAAAAATAAAAAGTCAGTGCAAGAACAGCTTTCAAAAGATGGTTCAAAACATGGTATGTACTTACTCATAAGTGGATTCTAGATATAAAGCAAAGGACAATCAGACTGCAACCCACAGAACCAGGGAGGCTACATAGCAGGGGAGCCTAGGATGACTGTGGCTTATAATAAGTTTTGGTTTTACTCAATTACTGGGCAAGCCTCAATGAAACATTTCACTATTAGGATAAGAATTTATACTGTATCAAGCTGATAATAGAAAAATAAATAAATAAATAAAAAAGACCTGAGCTACAGGTAGGCAGTTCCTCTTTGCTCCCTCTTGGGTTTGGATACTGAGACATAAGAACAGCATGGGGAATATAAGAACAACTTGGGACTGTAACTCGGCTTTCCAGGACCCTACGATAAATCTCCCATGATGTAATGAGTTTTTATACCCTAATAAATTCCTTTGCTCTTTAAAAAAAAAAGATGGCTGGTAGATGGTCTCCGTGCAGAATGAGTTTAGTGGGTAATAATAATAATAACAACAATGTGAGAGCAGCTGTCTGTAGACATAGAGGAGGGGACGCCGAGAGTCCGGCACTGGTCCAGAGAGGGGAAATAACAGCAAGTTCTGGGGTGTGACACCTGCTTGAGTAAAAAAGTGAAGCGCACTGGTGAGCTTGATCTCTTGGGACTACTGTTACAAAAAGATGATGTGTGCAACACAAACCAACCAGGAAGCCTTAATGAGCAGAATAAGTAGATCTATAATTCAGACATCTGGACTCACATCTGGTGAATTAAAGAAGTAAAAGAGCACATTTGTTAATTCCAGTTCTTGGGAGAAAAAGATGAAAACACACTCAAATAAAACAATGAAAGATGTCTGAAAGGATTTTGTGTACTCTGTAAACAGAGAAAAAAAATCTAAGGGATGGTTACCAAACACAATCGTGACCACATTGGGTCACCACACACTCACCTGCAATTGCTCTGTGACTTCTTTGTGGGTTTTCTCCATTTGGTTCATTTTGGCCCGAGTCTGAGACTCCTGATACTGAAAATCAGCCTTCAGCTCCGTAATCTGAAGGAAAAAATCAGTGACTTCAACTCCTTCATAACGGTAAATGTCTTGGTATTGGAGGTCTACACAGACAGTCTTCCAATTTCCTGGAACCCAGGGCTCTCCTGCACGTCCACACGGTCATCAAAGCCACACAGCATCCTTTTTCCTTGAGGCTTTTCTGAAGATTCACAAACCTGGAGCTCACTATCCTTCTCCCTTTCTTCCCCTCTCCCCTCCATCTTCCAAGTTCCAAGGTCAAGAATTCTCCTGCCTCAGGCTCCCCAGTGGCTGCAGTTACAGCTGCTCACTACCTCCCTCCAAATCCGAGGAAACAGTTCTGGTTGGCCACAATGGTGGTGCATAAGTATAACCTAAGCACTCAAGAGGCCAAGACAGGAGGGCTACCTTGAGTTCAAGGCCAGCCTAGGCTATATAGCGAGACTGTCTCAAATACACACCCAAACAACAACAAAAAACTTGACTTAAACTACTACTCCCTTGAAGATTTGACAGTTCCATAAACCCTCTGAATGCTCGTTTACAAGCTAGAGAAGAAGTGCCAGTGATCATTGCTCTCAATTCAAAAAACACTGGTTTATTACCCATAAATCTTCACTTGTTACTTTATTTAACTTTTTACTCTATTATTATTTGTGTATGACACGTGTGGACACAAGTGACACAGCACCCCGGAGGTCAGAGGACAGCCCTGTGGAGCTGGTTCTCTCCTTTCCTCAACAGTGGGTTCCAGGAGCCAATCAGGGTGTCAGGCTTTCGAAGGCAGCACCTGACCGACCCAGCCAGCTCACTGCACCTAGTGTTGGGTTTATTAAAAACATTTGTGAGTTACATGTGCTTATCCACTTACATGTGAGTGTGTGTGTGCCACAGTGTGCATGCAGAGGTCAGAGGAGAACTCCCAGAGTCCGCTCTCTCTCTCTCTCTCTACCATGGAGATCCTGGGGATCAAACTCAGGTCATTGGGTTTGGTGGCCACCTCACTGGCCCTACTGTTTTTAAAAATTAACTCATACTTTGTCCCATCTTTATAATAGCCTGAGGTCTAAAAGGTTAAGTATGCCATGAGGACCGGCAGTGTTAACGTGGTGCTGATCCAACTCCAGACTCCCGTCTACTGACTGCTGGTTCAGAGGAGGGCAGCTAACAGTGACTGGTGAGCTGAGTCAAAACAGACTAGCAACAGGCAGGGAAGCGGAACAGTCCAGACACAGGCACAAAGATAGGCCACCGAGGGCTGTTACGTCAACAGCTGACAACTTCACAGTAGCAGCAGATGGGGCTACAGATAGGCAGCCATGACACAGCAGAGATGGTGCCCTAACCGGGCAACGTGACAATGTGATCGTGGAAGCTACAGGACACAAGAGCTAGTTGGTTTGCTCTTTTCAAGACTTGAGTTCTGCAAGTAGGACGCAAGCGCTCTTCTGGTCCCTACTGGGCAGAAGTCTGTCCAAGACATGTGGGTGTCTGTCATCTGTCACTCACACAGAAGAATGGAAAAGATACAGGGACTGGGGGCTGATGTGAATGGTTAAGTGCTTGCCTAACACGTACAAGGCCTTGGTTTCAATCTCTAGGACTCCCCCCAAAATGCATGAAAACACAAGAACTTCTACAAAATTTAAACCAGGCATGGTGATGCACGCCTGTAATCTCAGAACCAGGGACAGAAGATCAGAAGTTCAAAGTCATCCTGAGCTGCACATGAATTCAAGGCCAGCCTGGGCTATATGCAATCCTAGCATGCATCTATAAAACCAGCACTTGAAAAGCAAAAGCAGGACTGCCACAAGTTCAAGGACAGTCTGGTCTGCATGGCAAGTTCCAGGAAGTGAGGACTCTACAGCAAGCCTCTCTCAAAAAATGGGACAAGGGTCACGGAGGTGGTTCAGAGGGTATAAATCAGCAGTCTCAACCCGTGGGCCCAGACCCCTTTGGCAAACCTCTATCTCCAAAAATATTTACATTACAATTCATACTATTAGATGTTTTTGTTTGTTTGGTTTGGAGACAGGGTTTCTCTGTGTAGTCCTGTATAGTAGTATGTTAACTAGGAATGTAGCTCAGTAGCACAGAATTTCCTAGCACACACAAGACCCTGGGTTTAGTTCCCAGTAACCTGCCCCCTCCTCACCACACACACACACACACACAGAGTATATTGTTATATGCTCCCTGCTAGACTGCCTGGTGCATACTAGACAAGCACTCTGCAGCTGAGCTACACCCTCAGCCTTACCCGTGGCTTTTATACACTGTGTCTGTTGGTTTCATTAACTAATGTCCTGTCTGAGAAGTGGGAACTCCTTGGAAATGCTGAGAAAAATCAGCGTTCTGAACCCCTAGGCTGAGGTGGACTGACCAACAAAATGCCATCCCATGAGCCAACCTGGCAAACAGACACTCTCTTCTCAGGGAGTCTCAAGCTGACCACAGGCTCTCTAAAGCACCAATGGTAAGTAGCCAACAGAGGGAAAGCATCATACCCCATCCCATGGTCTTCACTCTGTAAACCTGGCCCAAAAGGCGGTAATGAGCCGGGCGGTGGTGGCGCACGCCTTTAATCCCAGCACTCGGGAGGCAGAGCCAGGCGGATCTCTGTGAGTTCGAGGCCAGCCTGGTCTCCAAAGCGAGTACCAGGAAAGGCGCAAAGCTACACAGAGAAACCCTGTCTCGAAAAACCAAAAAAAAAAAAAAAAAAGGCGGTAATGAAACCCTACCTTCTTCTCTTTCTCTAGGATCATCTGGTCCTTCTGATGCAGCATCTTCTTCAGAGTGGCCACCTCTTCCTTCAGCTGGGCAATGATGACAAAGTGGTCAGTGCCAGGGGAATCCAGAGCCAGGTCTGGGGAAAAGCTGGGTAGAAAATGGAGAGAGAAATTTCCTAACTCTACTTAAGGCTGTACTCCAGGTCACCTGATGGTGACCGTGGGGGCTTCAGTGACTATCTGAATTCCTGCCATCAGGCTCTGCTCTGTCCACATCAGACTTACCAGTATCTGCTGGACTTGAACTAAGTACAGGAAAGGTGGTCATCAGAAAATGATGCCAACCCAAACCAACCCCTCAACCTGTCATATGTGGGACCAAAATAAACATGAGATCCCAAAAGCCAAGCTTACTACTGGAGGCTCATTGAAGATCTCCAGCCACATTTGTGATTAGAGAACTGTCCTAGAATCCTTGATAGACTATCTATTATGAGCACACGCTCAGCCCTAAAGTCCTGTGATGAGGTTCAGCTCCTAAGAAACTGAGACACCAGCTGGCTGGTGGTGGCTCACACCTTTAATACCAGCACTTGGGAGGCAGAGGTTGGCAGATCTCTGTGAATTTGAGGCCAGCCTGGTCTACAAAGTGAGTTCTAGGACAGCCAGGATTGTTATAGGGAGAAACCCTGTCTCAAAAAAAGAAAAGAAACTGCAGCTCCCACCTTGAAGCACGCAGTCTCCCCTAAAAAGGTGGGGTGTACAGGAAGACTAGCTTCTGTGCTGCAAAGCCAGCCTATAATCTTAATATTCAGCAGGCTGAGGCATGAGGACTTCTGAGTCTGGGGCCCACCTAGGCTACAGTGAATTTCAGGACAGTCTGCACTCCAGTAGGAGACTTAAACAACAACAAAAAGAATTTGGGATGCTTAGTGGAGGAAGGGACAAAGGTGGCAAACTCCAGTCACATCACATGCTGTTTACGACTCTCCACGTTGTCAAAGTACTGGTGACGCTCATGTCCTTTTAGCAGACCCTCCTCATTTCTCCCATTTCAGGGAATCTGTAAGGCCTTGAGATTACATGCAAAATCTTTTCTGCATCTACAACAGGAGGTTTTCTGGGTGAGGATCCAAAGTTTTCAGCGATGCCTCAGAACAAACCAGGAACCACTGCCAGAGGTCACTTCCTGTCTATTTTTAGGGAATTCCCAAAAGAAGTTCTTTACTTTTCTCGACAATCTTTAAAGCAATACACACCTCTGGATACTGATCTCAACCCTCTGTCAACAGAGCAACAACTCACAGCCTCTTGCTTTTGCTCCTTCCAGAACCTTACATGGCAGCTAATAAGCAGTGCTGGAAGACACTCAACCAGCCTGTGACTGCACACGCTCCCTCAGTTACCAAGTCAGATACTCCTATGGCTGGCTGGAGCCCATCCACATGCAGCATCTGGAACAGAGCACTGGAGGAAGACTGAACTGATGTTCTCCTAACTGATGAATGTCCCCAAGTGCAAGTACGGGGTGAGCAAGAGTCAACGCAAACTAAGAAAACAGGTGTTCAGGATAAGGGCCCATCAATCTTCTCCAAGTTCAGATCTAGAAGTTCCCTTGTATCTGTTTCAATACCCACCAAAACTTGTCTTCCCTCAACCCAACAGAGTATTTAACTCCTAACTATAGCAAGCAAGGGCAGATTAACGGCCGACCGGGGGTAACTCTCCATGTCTCCAAAGCTCCAAATGCTCCGCTCTGCTTCTCAGGAGACTCTCTCTTGTTGCTGCTGTTGGCAGTGCTGAGGATTGAAGCTAGGGCCTCGTGCATGAGATGAGAACGCTCTACCACCGAGCTTAAGCACCAGCCATAGAAATTAATCTTACACCAGTCAACTCTTGGCAAAACCAGTCCAGTGTATCCTGCGTGGGCCTGATCCCTCTGAAGCTAGGAGCTCAATCAACATGAGAAGTAAAAGCAACGACTAGTTACCAACGACTAGTTACCAACGACTAGTTACCAAGGCAGCAAGCTAGTCTCTCCAATACCTCCACACACAGGGAACTTAGTGCTGCTCCAAGACATTCCCTGCCTTTTCTGAAAGCTTTTAACATAAGAACAGGTTCTCTGCTAAGAGGCTGAGGCAGGGAGATTGGAGATTCAAGGCCCACCCTCAAGACAAACAACTCTTTTCCTGAGTTGAATCAAAACAGGGCTGCAGTAACAAAGCACACTGTCGAGAGGCCATCTTCAAAGGCCACAAAGAAGCCCAAGGCTGCAGGCTCAAAGGCAGAGAATAAAATGAAATTTAAAAAGTCCTTTGGAAATGACATACTGTAGGTGCCTGGCTGCCACCCATTGCTAAATTGGATTCTACGGAGCACTTAGTAGTATGACTGAAGAGTGACCGGCATATTTTCTCAAGGAAGGAACACTGTCTAACTCATATTCCTCAAATCAGAAAGTTTTAACCACAATTTTAACTAGGGAATTAGAAAATATTGGGCGGGGGCTGTGACTTCGTAGGCTACTGAAAAACAAATAGACTAAGCCACCTTCTAGGTATAAAACATCAGAGAAAGCTAAGATAATGTGTTCTGTCTACAGCATGAAAAGCTGGGGGACAATGAATATGAGGGGAGGCTGGGCATGGTGGTGCACTCCATTAATCCTATCACTTGGGAGGCAGAGGTAGAAGCAGGCAGATCCCTGGGTACCAAGCCAGCCTGAGTCTCCACAGAAAGTTCCAGGACTGCTTCTTAGTCTGTTGGCAAAGGCCAAGTATAGTAATATTCTTATCAATTTAATAGAAAGTTCCAGGCCAGCCAGGTCTACGTAGGGAGACCCTGTCTCAAATGAGAGAGAAAGAATGTGAATTAAACATGCCTCAATATTAAATAAGATTATGGCAGTAAAAGATCAACATAGAACTATCATGAGGCAACATACAGAAGACATAAGGAATAAAATTTAAAGAGTAAAAGCATAAATTTTAAAAAGTTAGTGGTGCCAGGCAGCAGTGGTGCACGCCTTTAATCTCAGCACTCAGGAGGCAGAGCCAGGCGGATCTCTGTGAGTTCAAGACCAGCCTGGTCTACAAGATGAGTTCCAGGACAGGCACTAAAACTACACAGAGAAACCCTGTCTTGAAAAACAAAACAAGGCTGGAGAGATGGCTCAGAGGTTAAGAGCACTGGCTGTTCTTCCAAAGGTCCTGGGTTCAATTCTCAGCAACCACATGGTGGCTCACAACCATCTATAATAAGGTCTGGTGCCCTCTTCTGTCATGCAGGCAGAACACTGTATACATAATAAACAAATAAATATTTAAAAAAAAAAAAAGAAAGAGAGCCGGGCGGTGGTGGCGCACGCCTTTAATCCCAGCACTCGGGAGGCAGAGCCAGGCGGATCTCTGTGAGTTCGAGGCCAGCCTGGTCTCCAAAGCGAGTACCAGGAAAGGCGCAAAGCTACACAGAGAAACCCTGTCTCGAAAAACAAAAAACAAAAAACAAAAAAAGAAAGAAAAACAAAACAAAAAAATAGATAGATAGAGAGAGAGATAGATAGAGAGAGAGAGAGAGATAGTGTTGGAGATAGAAACTAAGGGCCTTGTGCTAAGGAAGCACTCACCCGTGACTCCCGACCGCTCCAGTCCTGAGCATGTAAGTGCATGTCATACATACTTCAGGGCTAGAGATGCACCTTAGTCCACAGTACTTGCCCAGCATGTACAAGGCCCTGGGCTGGATCCCTAGTAATGCAGAAACCTGGTAAGAGTGGTCCCTGCTTGTAATTCCAGGACTCAGGAGGGAGAGATGAGGTAATCAGAAACTCAAGGTCATCCTCCACTACACACAGAATGAGGCCAGCCTGGGATACACGAAACCCTGTCTACACTTCCCCATTTACACACACACACACACACACACACTCTATATGAAGTGCTTGCTTGGGCAGCACATATACTAAAATGGGAACAATACAAAGATCAGCATGGCCCCTGTGTGAAGATGACATGCAAATTCCTGAAGCATTTCATATTTATAAATAAAAGTTTGAATATTAAAAAGGAGTATAAAATTACAGAAATGCCTCTTTTGTTACTGTTTTTTGAAGCAGTGTCTCATGCATTCCAGGCTGATTTGAGTCCCTATGTAGTTGATGATAACCTTGAACTCTTGATTCTCCTGCCTCACCTCCTAAGTGCTGGGATGACAGGTGGGTGACACCAGCCTAGTTTCAGAATGCTTTATTCAAAGCAAAGAAAAAGAGTAGGAAAAAACCCACAAAAAGTAAAAAGGATAACAAAATGCAACTTACGTTGTGTTAAGAATATTTAAAAGAAATGCAAATAAGTTGACTAAATTATTAAGAGCACTAATAATGCAGGGACATTCAAAAGAAATGTGTTTATGGATGAACATTTCTGTGGCAGCAGAAAAAATTACCTACATTTTCAAACTATAAGATAAACATAGTGGCACATCCTGTAATCAGTGGGCTGGGGTAAGAGGACTGCCTCAAGTTTGAGGTCAGCCTGGACTACTACCAAGTTCCAGGAGAACCAAAATTACACAGTGAGACTGTCTCTAACCCTCCCCTCCCCACACAGATAAAACAAAAACAACAACTTTTTAAAATTAGTATGAGGCTAGAGATACAGCCTAGTGGTAGAACACTCTCCTAAATAGGAAGCCCTAGGTTCAATTCCCAATATCACATACAGTATGGGAAAAATGATCTTTTAATGTCTTCTCTGGAGGACCTAAAGCAAGGACTAGCATCCCACTGAACAACACCATCCTTACTTGTGGCCGGATGTGAGTCAACCATCTGCAGGGCCAACCTAGGTTTTAGCTTGGCACATCTCAGGCAACAGACAGTAGACTAGCGGCGAAACCTCAAGACAAGCAAGCTGGCCAAGGCAAAGCTACTAGAGACCGGGCTGGCAGAGCTGCAGCTCTGAACGAGCTTCCGGGGACCACCAGCACGGCCTGGGGATAAGGAAGCAGATGGGAATGGTGGATCTGAAAGTACGGGGCTGGGCTTTAGTGGCCTGCTTTCTAGGACTTCCAAAAATGCCTTCCTTGAAGCCGTTTTTACAGAACCACGCAAAGGTGATGAACACATCTGTTTTCTTCACAACAGCCCAACTAGCTGCTCCAAGGCATGGGTGAAGAGACCAGAAAGTTGGTCTATATGGTTCTTTCCCACATACAACCTGAAAAACTTAAGCATTTCCAGAAGGTTCAAGAAGATGAAAACCAATTAAACTAGTGTTGACAGACACTGCCTTGGTAGGATCTGAAATCAAGTAAATAAAAATGCAGTAGGAAGAGGAGACTCCACAGACGATTTGCATTCTGGGAGGTAAAGCAACAGGCAGCCCTGGTAAGGCCCTGGCTGGTGGCTCCCACAGCCATGTTGGCTGGGAGGGAGGGCTGCGAATGTTCTCAGAATGGAGAAGAGTCCCAGGACTTTGGGGAAGGGTCAGGTGATCTCACTTCAGGATGCCTGGGCCTGGAGGAACAGGAAAATGGATGGTTCCAAGACTCTGTTGAGAAGCAGCCCACTGCACCAATGCAGACGGGCTCTGGGTATTAGGACAAAGCAGCTCAGGAGAGGAAGCATCGCTGAGAGGAGAGAGGAGCAATGAAAATATGCATTTAGGCAGGCCCAACTGAAACAAAACCACTGAACTCTATCTCCTTCTCGTCTGTCCCAGCATCTGTACTGGAAGACTCGGGAGAAGTGTGAATATCCGGGCAGACATGCAGCCCTACCTTCACCCTACCTCTGCTCTCTCTCCAAACCAACTCCGTCTGGAGGCTACAGGCCCAGACCACACAGAAAAACATTCATCTCCTCACTTCTTAGACTTCCTTAGTGGACTGAAGAATAACTACAGTTAATCCAGTTACTAGTTCTAAATATGTATTTTTTTATTTTTGAACTGGGTTTCACTATGTAGCCCTGGCTGGCCTTAAACTCACAGAGATCTATATGCCTCTGCCTCTGCCTCCCAAGTGCTGGGATTAAAAGAGTGTGCCATCACACCCATCCGACTCAACTTCCCAAGTTCTGAGACTACAGGCAAGGCCAGCATGCCCACTAAGTTCTTATATTCAACTGATAACAGCTATTAGGAGCGCTTATCCATAACTATCAAGTGACTAGCGTAGCACCCCTAACGGTCCACTCAGGACCCTGGCTAGCGCTGAGGTATACCCTCAAGGTAGTCAAGAACTACGTATGCATTTCAAGTGCGTGGGCACTCATACCCCAACTGGCTCACCTGTCTCCGTTAGCTGTGATTGACTCAAACTTGGATTTTTTCTTTGGGATTTCATTTTGAATTGAAGATGTAGAAAGTGTTTTCTGGCTTTTGATGGCAAAAAGAGAGAGAGACACATTAGAAATCAAAGATAAATAAAACACTCCAAGGAAAGTCTGTCAAATGGGCCAACAATGTTCTGGGCAACAGCTTATTATTTTTGATTAGTAAAATCTTCCAAGGCGGTTTATAGGTTTGGATGCTTGGATGCATGGGTAGCCAGTGTCTACAGGGTCAAAACCCATTTTGATCTTAATTACTTACTTCCTGACTGATTAATAGTTATGAAAACAGAACTGATCAAACTGTAAGAAATGTGTTTTCTGGTTTAGAAAGTCTTTTCCATTCCTATCCCCCACGCATCCTCCATCTCATAGCTCTAGGAAGTACAGACAAGCTACCCTCCGACAAGTCAGTACCTGACCTACCCAAGGAGAGCCAGCAGGAAAGCTGTAACAAAAGCCAAGCAGACACGAATGAACTCCTAGCCTTTCTCATGACATCTCTGTGAATGCACTCTGGACCTCAGTCCCACAGAAGAACTAGCTTTAGATGTAGTACCGTCACTCACAACTGGCTCTGACACCAAAGTCAGGAGCCTGCCCCTGGCATGAAATCCCTTCATTCGGACAGATGTCCCAATGCCACACCCAAGGGGCTCAATGAAGTGCCTCAGGGTGGTTCTCTGCATGTGTGTAGTGGGGGTGAGGGTGGGAGAAGTTGGGGTATGTGAGGATGAGACAGGGTTTCATGTAGCTCAGGTTGGCCTAGAACTCCCTATGTAACTGTGGCTGGCCTCGAACTCCCTATGTAGCCGTGGCTGGCCTTGACCTCCTGACCCTTCTGCTAACACCTCCAGAGTGCTGGGGTTACAGGTGTGCACCACCACCTCCAGGCCGAGATAAAGTTTCTGTAACATTTCTTAGCTTACCTATACTTGCACGAAAAGAGGAGCCCCAATGGGAAGCGCTATAAACCAAGCAAGGCCTTGCAAACATGAGGCAAACACTACACTGAGTGACATCCCAGTCCTCAGTTCCCCTTTCTTTCAGTGCCTTCTCTACTAGCCAGGGTATTGCTGCCCACACAGGCTGGGTCCTTCCCTTGCATAGGCCCCTCGGTAGCGCCCATAAGCCCCTGACATGCGTGCAGGCCCTCTCCTCCTCCTCCTCCAGTTTCCAACAACACAAACGGTCTGACGGTCTCCCGGGCTCTGTGTGCTCCCATGCCCTCTAGTCCTCTGCAAGCACTAGTCCCTCCCTCTCCTAGGATGCCCCTGCCTTGTCCTCATCTGACAAGTCCAGTCCATAGAGGGACAGTTACAGCAAGCTCTTCTCCAAGTCAGCTTTCCTGCCTTTCTACCTGAATCTTGACAAATTTGCAAAGTGGTGCCCATTGCATTAGACTGCGATGACTTGATTACAAATCTGTATTCTCTACCAGAAGGCATACTATTGAGAGCAGCATGGTTTTTATTCATCTCTGTATTCCCAGCAGAGTCCCTGGCCCATGAGAGTACTTAATAATGCCTAGTGAACAAACAAACCCATAATGACAGTAATAACAAAAACCAGCTAAAACCCATTGAATACTGTCATGAGAAAACAAACTGCTATTCATGTACTATATAATTTGCCTTCACAACAACCCCATGAGGTAATGCTATTCTCTTTCTCATTGTCGAGAAAATTTGCTAGAGACAGGATTAAACCTAAGCCTCAATTCTCAACATCATTGTATATACTCTTAAAAGAAGCTTCAGCCATCAACAAAAGGACATCTTTCAACTGGCTCCCACCCTGAAAAAGTCTAGAATACCAATCAACTATTTGTCCAAATATATATATTTAAAATGCTGTCTATAGCCAGAAAACAAAACGTCCAATCCCCAAGGGATTATGCACAATTAAAGTTGAGAATTCCACTTACAAGTTCTACACACCTTAAAGACACAATACAGAAACCTCCTTGGCCCTTGCAGACGTAGGAACTATAAATATGGCAAGCCAGAGACTCCTAAAGGCTTGTAACAACAGGAACACTTCTGAGATGCCTCCCTCCTCGACTGCCTGAGGAGTGAGGCTCCTGGCCTGCCGCCTCCTACAGTCCTCTCATGGCCCTGGGTTACCTGTTATAATGGCTGCCACCACTCAGGCGGCTGTACTGCTCCTTCTCCTGATGGCTGGCTCGAGAAGAGCTGCTCAGGTGTCTCCTCTGCTCTTTGGTCTTCTGAAGGACACGCTTGTAGGACAGTGTGCACAGCCAGCACAGGAGCTTCCCATCTACCTGAAAGATGAGACACAGTTCAGAGGAGGTGAGGTCTGTGCTAACCATGACCACTAAGACCCTGAGCTAGACCCACTCAGGTTAGCTCCAGCCTGCAAGCTGTGTGAGCCTGGGGCAAGTCACAGGCTTTAGTGACAATGGACATAGACCACTCAATATGGTGCCATACACATAAAAATTGATGTCTCTATAGTGTACGTCTTTAATCCTAACACTCGGGAGGCAGAGGCAGGTGGATCTAAAAGTGTGAGGCCAGCCTGGTCTACAGAGAGAGTTCCAGGACAGCAAGGGCTATACGGAAAAACTCTGCCTCAAAAAAACAATAGATAGATAGATAGATAGATAGATAGATAGATAGATATTTTTATCATGCAACTAAGGAATGCTGAGGCAGGAGAAATAGTGTTCCCCAGGGATGAGCCCCCCAACTGGTTATCCAATACCAAGTGGTCAGTTCTAAATTCATATACACACAAACAGCACTGATGGGCTGAGCAGGTTGTTATTACATATTTGTGTGTTTATAAGTATGTATGTAACAACAAGAAAAAAGAGGGCCTGAAATTTGAAGGGAGGAAGAGAGCAGGGAATATGGGAGAGGCTGAACGGAAGAGAGGGAAGGGATGTAATTATATTTTAAATTTTTGTTTTGTTTTTTTCTGGGACAGAGTTTCTCTAGGTAGCCCAGGCTGGCCTCAAACTCAGAGATCTATCTGCCTTTGCCTCCAGAGTACTGGAATTAAAGGTGTGTGCCACCACTGTCTAGCATGATTTAAAATATTTTTAAATAAAAAATAAAATGTTAATTAATAAATGTTTAGCTCAGTGTGGTAACACATCTTTACAATCCCAGCAGCACTCAGGAGGTGCGGCCAGAGGACCAGGAGTGCAGGCCAATCTCACTACACAGTGCATGCATCCAAAGCCAGCTGGGTTACAGGAAACCTTATCTCAAAAGACGAACAAAAGCCAAACGTGGTGGTACAAACCTTTAACATTAGCACTCAAGAGGCAGAAGCAGGCAGACAGCTGTGGGTTCAAGGCCAGCCTGATCTACAGAGTTCCAGGCCATCCAGGGTTACACAGTGAGAGCCTGTCTCAAATAAACAAAACAAAAAAGTTATTTTCTGTAACTACCTCATTCAGTCTCCCTCTGCTTCTCTGCCATAGCTGTTATTCTTGTCAGAAAAGATAAAGGAAATGGACACATAATGAGAACAACTTGTCCAAGATCATTGATTGAGCTAGCCCTAGGAACAAGACAGGACTCAGGTCTAGGGTACTGCAAAGCCCAAACTGTCCCCTATCCCTGGAGATGGACAGAACACTATTTTTTCCCTTTATCTTTATTTATGTGTGGGTGTTCTGCCTGCCTGTGTCTGTGTACCAGTTATGTGCAGTGCATTCAGAGGACAAAGAAGGTCTTGGATTCTCTGGGACTGGAGTTTAAGAGGCTGTTGTGAGCTGCCACGTGGGAACTGGGAATCAAATCTGGTTCAAGAGCAGCCAGTGCTCTTAACCACTGAGCCATCTCTGCAGCCCAGGGAAAAATACTACTAAAGGGACCTCCTGATTACTAACACAGCTTTTCCAACATCTCGTTTAGGGAAAGGTGTCTCAGCTGGCAGGCAGGAATATTCTCATCAGTGAAAGTTATGTCCCTCCACTATAAATTAATAAATCTGGTTAACAGGAGTCAGCCTTGAACACACAAGAACTCTGGGCATCGACAGAGTTTCAGGACTGTAATATATTCTCTGTTATTTCCTGACCACCACATACGATGTCCAGGCCACTGCCACAGAGAAAAAAGATGAAGAGCGAGCTCACAGCCTAATGGGGTGAGAAACACGGAATACAGAAGGTAATGTTTCATAATGCTACATTTCCAAGACAATAAAGGAGTGATAGGAATTGTAACCAAGGGAATTAAAGACTGTCTCCAGCATGTGCTGTGGTGTACCTCTGTAATCCAGCACTTGGGGAGGCAGAGGCAGGAGGATCAGGAATTCAAATTCTTCCTCAGCTACACAGGGAGTTCAAAGCCAGCCTGGGCTACATGAGACCCTGTCTCACCTCCTCTTCCCCCGAAAAAGGTCTCTGTAAAGAGGAGCCATCCAAATTAAGACCAAAGAAACCAGTCAGAACTCTCTGGAAAAGGCTGACTGAAGCAAAGAAGAACCAGCACAGAGGAGAGAGAAGAAAACTGGGAGGCCTGAAGACTGAAAGGTGGTCACAGGTGAGGAGAGTGCAGGACGAAACTGAGCGCTGGGTAAGACCTGGCAAGCATGGAAGAGAAGAGTTTGGGTTTTATCCAAGTAGAAATGGAAGCCACAGCCGGGCGTGGTGGCGCACAACTTTAATCCCAGCATTCTGGAGGCAGAGGCAGGCGGATCTCTGTGAATTTGAGGCCAGCCTGGTCTACAGAGTGAGTTCCAGGACAGCCAGGGCTACACAGAGAAACTGTGTCTCGAAAAACCAAAAGAAAAAGTTTAAAAAAAAAGGAAGCCACTAGAGGGTTTCAAGAATAGAGAGATTAGTATGACCAAACTCTAAACCATTTTGATCCATCAAGATACTGCAACTAACACGCACATTCTATGTGATGTAATCTTGTGATCTTTAACTTCAACACAGAAACATCTGGAGCTGTACAGTAGTACTGGGACCATTACCTCACCTATGTTATCATCATCTCTACTTCTTAGACTTACACAGACTTTTGCCAACTACCACTTATATGAGGTACTTCTCACTATAATTTGAATTATTTTAAAAGGTTAATACATTATTATTTATTAATGTGGAGGAGGTTTATTTATGCATGAGCTCAGAGGACAATTTACAGAAGTCAATGTTCTCCCTCCTCCTCCATTCGTGTTCTGGAGATGAACTCAGGTCACCAGCCTTGGTAGCAAGAACCTTTATCTACTGAACAATCTCACAGGCCCCAATTACATTCTTAAGAAGTGTTACAGGAAGATGGTCATGGTGGCGCACGCCTTTAGTTCCAGCACCCGTGAGGCAGAGGCAGGCAGATCTCTGAGATTGAGGTCAGCCTGGTCTACAAAGCAAGTTCCAGGACAGCCAGGTCTACACAGAGAAACCCTGTCTCGAAAAACCAAAAAAAAAAAGTAAATAAATAAAAAATGCTAGGGGCCAACAAGACTGCCCAGTAGGTAAAGACACTTGCTGCCAAACCTGATGACCTCAGCTCAATACCTGGAACCCATATGGAAGGAGAGAACCAACTCCTGCAAGCTGTCCTCTGCACTCCACAGGCGTATCTGTGGTACATGAACACAGAAGTAAACATATGAAGTGTAACTGTAATAAGATATGGACAGGGAACATGGGAGCAAACACCTTTTGTGTGTGTGTGTGTGTGTGTGTGTGTGTGTGTGTGTGTGTGTGTGTGTGTTTTAGCTTTTTGTTTTTGAGACAGGGTTTCTCTGTGTAGCTTTGTGCCTTTCCTGGATCTCACTCTGTAGACCAGGCTGGCCTCGAACTCAGAGATCTGGGATTAAGAGAGCTGGGGTTGCTGGGGCAGTGGTGGCACACGCCTTTAATCCCAGCACTCCAGAGGCAGAGCCAGGCAGATCTCTGTGACTTCGAGGCCAGCCTGGACTAGAGTGAGTTCCAGGAAAGACACAAAGCTACACAAAGAAACCCTGTCTCGAAAAACCAAAAATAAATAAATAAATAAATAAAAAAGAGAGAGAGAGAGAGAGAGCGAGCTGGGGTTAAGGCGTAAACCACCACCACCCGGAGGGAGCACACACCTTTAATCTCAACCGTCAAGGTCAACCTGGTCTATATACAGTGATTTCCAGACTAACCAGATACAAAGAGACCTTGTCTTAAAAAGAAAAAAGGAAAACGGGCTGGAGAGATGGCTCAGCGGTTAAGAGCCCTTGTTGTTCTTGTAGAGAATCCAGCTTGCCCGTGGTGACTTGCACCCACACTGCTCCAGGTCCAGGGATATGATGCCCACTCCTGACCCTGTCCAGCACCAAGCACACACACGGTACACATATACGGAGCAGGCCAAATACAAATAAAGACGGATAATGCTAAGAAAAACCATTTTCTGTTGAAAGAAGAAGAGATGGGCCTGGTAAAATGGCTCAGTGGGTAAGGGACTTGCTACCAATGTGTCCAACTGAGTTTTCTCCCGGGACCCACGGCTCCCACACACAAATATGCTATACTGTGGCAAGCATAAGCATCCCTCTCATGGACACAAAATAAATAAATGTAACAAAAAAAATTTAAAGAAATGTTAGACTAATGGTCTAGATTTGGGAAATGAAGAACACAATCTAACTCTCTAAGTTAGTCAGTAACAGGAGCAGGACAGGAACTCAGAATCATGCCCATCTGATTTGGTCCAATTTACTCTCCCCCACCCCCCAAAAAAGAAGCTAAAGAAGACAAACCAGCCATTTACCTTCTTCCGATCGTCTTTCCTGTCAAACGCACACTGCTGCTTGCACTGTTCACAGGAATATGGGGGTCCGTACTTCTTCTCTGAATTCGTGCAGCGCTGGCATTTATTGCCAATAAATGCTGCAATTATGTTGCAGTACTGACAAGGCTTAGGCTTAACGGAGAGGAAAAAAGATCAAGTAAGCCTATCATAAAACACTGGCCCGCTTTTAGTCGCACTTCCTACTCTGTAACCCACGACACAGGGCAAACGCGGATTCCCAACATCCTGCATTTGCCCCTACAGTGTTCAAATGAAGCCCAATCCTTAGCATCATACAAAAGTAATCCCCATATGATTATACACTTTTTAAATAAATTTTTATAACAAATAACCGAAGCTCATTAGTGTCTATGATGAAACTTCAACAACAAAAAAAATCCAATAGAACATAGTTGAGTTTGAGGCCAGCTTGGGATACATGAGACATTGTCTCAGAAAAACAAAAACAGGCCAAGCATGGTGGTGCACGCCTTTAATTCGGCACTCAGGAGGCAGAGTCAGGTGGATCTCTGTGAGTTCGAGGCCAGCCTGGTCTACAGAACGAGTTCCAGGACGGCCAGAGCCAGACAGCAAGACCCTTGATGCAAAACAACAAAAACCAGCCTAAGAGACGGCTCCATGGGCAAAGGTGCTTGCCAACCCCAGAACAAAGGTAGCAGAGCTAACTCCACAGAGCTCCTCAGACATTCACACCATGCTGCGCTAATAAGCAAATATTCAGGAAGGCAGGCAGGAAAGCAGGGAGAAGGGAAGGTAAAGTTGTGTGTGTGTGTGTGACTTTAAAACTTTTAATGTGTATGGGTGTTTGCATATATGTATGTGCATTACATGGGTACACTGCATGCAGATGAGAGAAAGGGGTGTCAGATCCCCTGGAAATGGAGTTACATGTGGTTGTCAGCCACCATATGAGCAGCTGGGAACTGAACCCCGCTGAACCAAGTACTCTTCACCACTGAGCCATCACTCCAGCCCTGGAAGGCTGAGTTCTAAGAGATCTGAGTATTCACTCCTGTTAGGATTTTGGTCCAGAGAAATCCTACTCACCGTTCCATACAGCTGCACGTTCTGAGCACACTTCTTGCATATTGTATTGGTTTTACTGTTAAAGAAAACAATGAAACAAGACTTCTCTTAGAACATCTGAAACCTTATTCCTCTGAAGTCCAAGGAATTTGTCATTGCTAAGGTGCTAGGGGCTAGGTGATGTATAGACTGGACATTTGATAAACTAATAATGAAACCCTATTTTAAAGAGAGAGTAAGTCACTTCAGATTACGCCCCACTCCCCACCCCAGGTTGGTATTTACTCATATAGCCCATGATGGCTTCAAACTTACTATGTAGTTGAGAACAGCTTTAACTTCCGGTGTGGTAGGACTACAGACGTGAGAACACCATGCCCAGCTTTAATTATGACATCTTTAAGTATCCCCAATAAAACTAAAAGACCCTCAAAATACGGTGTTACACTGAAGTGAAATACAGAAAAGAAGCGAATTCTCTCTACTTCAGATGAGTATCTGAAACATTTTAAGGTGAGGAATAAGATGGGTGTGTGTCTGGGGTATGAACTCAAGACTACACTCTCCATTGTAAGGAAGAGTATGAAAAGCAGACACAGGGAAATAGATGTTATGGACAAACACTTTGTATCTATGATTTCTCTAAGTTAGACACTGACCAGATAAACACTGTTTGCCTTGTGAAGATCTAAAGGTCATGCATGATATGACCAAAGTGCTTGAACTAAGCAATCTGCCTACAGAAACTCCACCTTCAGATAAAGCCAAATTAGCCAACTGTAGTGGCGCATGCCTTTAATCCCAATACTCAGGGTCAGAGGCTAGCCTGGTCTACATAGCAAGTTCCAGGCCAGCCAGGGCTACAGAGTAAAAATATGTCACACACTCACACACACACACACACACACACACACACACACACAGCCTAACCCTTTATACAAAAGAATGTTTGATATATAAAGACATATTAAATGGTCTGAGACCAAAATAAAAACTGAGTCCATTTTGTGATTATTTTGTCATACCATTTCTAGAGAGGGGACCATAAAGTTAAAACAGAAAACAAGGAGGTGGGCACAGTGGTGCACACCTTTAATCCCAGCACTTGGGAGGCAGAGGCAGATGAGCTCTGAGTTTGGGGCCAGCCTGATGTACAGATGAGTTCCAGGACAGTCAGAGCTACACAGAGAAACCCTGTCTTAGAGAGAGAGAGAGAGACAGACAGACAGACAGACAAAGGAAAGAAAAGAACAAAAAGAAAAATTAAACACCTCAGCGTCGAGAACATTTAAATTAAATTGAAACTCAGGACATGGTGGTGTGGGTCTATAATCCCAGTGAGGCTGTATGGACATAACTGACAGCTCACTTGCCTACCATATGTAAGGCCCCGAGTTTGATCCCAAGCATTCAAAAAGAAAAAAGAAAAAGAAGAAGAAGAAGAAGAAGAAGAAGAAGAAGAAGAAGAAGAAGAAGAAGAAGAAGAAGAAGAAGAAAAAGAAGAAGAAGAAGAAAGATATGCAAACCAAAATTTGCCAGGGCAATTTTTAATTATCTGCATGTATATGTGTCTTCCATGTTGGTAAGTACAAATGAGAGCAGGTGCCCTCAGGGGCTCTCATTTCCTGGAGTTACAGTTTGTTTTTTTACACAGGTCTTACTATATAGCTTTAGTGCTTGGCCTGTAGGTCACTATGCAGACCAACGCTGCAATTAAAGGACTGCTAGTATTTTATCGTGTGTAGGAGGGTGGTGGTTGTTGTTTTTGTGAGACAGAGTCTCTCTCTGAGTGCTGGGATTAAAGGTATGTGCTCAATCAGCCTGCTTAAATGTTTAAAGTCACATGTCATTCACTTTTCAGATCCTTGATCATTTTATATGTGGTGTTTATTTGAGGCAGGGTCTCACCGGTCTCCGGGATTGCAGACAGGCACCACCACATGCTCTGCTCCCCACTGCTCTTTCAAAGTGGCAGGAAATTGCAGTAATAAAATAAAAATCTGCCAGGCAGTGGTGGCGCACGCCTTTAATCCCAGCACTCAGGAGGCAGAGGCAGGCAGATCTCTGTGACTTCGAGGCCAGCCTGGTCTCCAAAGCCAGTTCCAGGAAAGGCACAAAGCTACACAGAGAAACCCTGTCTTGAAAAACCAAAAAAAAAAAAAAGAATAAAATAAAAATAAAAAAATAAAAATCTGGGCTGGAGAGATGGCTCAGAGGTTAAGAGAGCACTGGCTGTTCTTCCAGAGGTCCTGAGTTCAATTCCCAGCAACCACATGGTGGCTCACAGCCATCTGTAATGAGACTTGGTGCCCTCTTCCGGCCTGCAGGCATACGTGCAGACAGAATACTGTATACATAAATAAACAAATAAAATAAATAAATAAAAATAAAAAATAAAAAAAATGAAAATCTAAGCAGACAATGGGTAATACATAAGATATAACACGCACACTATATACCCGTTGATATACAGGAAACTATATAATCTGTGTATAATGTAATTGACATTAAATCTGTATGCTCTAGGTGGGTGTCCTGGTGAATGCCTTTGATCTCAGCACTATGGAGGCAGAGGGAAGTGGATCTCTGAGCATTAAGACCATCCTGGGACTGGTTCTGGTGACCATCCTGGGACTGGAGAGATGGTTCTGGTTAAGAGCACTTTCTCTATTTCCAGAGGACCTGAGTTCAGTTCCCAGTACCCACGTAGGGTGGCTCACTACCACCTTTAACGCCAGCTCCAGGGGCATCTGATACCTCTAGCTTCTACTGGAGCCTGCACTCACAAATGCACTTAACAATAAAAATAAAACTTAAAAAAAAAAGACTATTCTAGTCTACATAGTAAGAGCTCATCCAAAAAAACTACAATTAATTATAATTATAGCCCTAGCCCTATGTGTACATGAAATACAAGCAGAAACTTGAAGAAATAAGTCTATTTACTTTTTTTTAATTTTATTTGTTTTGGTTTCTTGAGACAGGGTTTCTCTGTGTAGCTCTGGCTGTCCTAGAACTCACTCTGTAGACCAGACTGGCCTTGAACTCAGAGATCCCCCTGTCTCTGCCTCCTGAGCACTGGGATTAAAGACCTGTGCCTCTACGCTTGGCTTTTTTTTTTTTTTTTTTTTTTTTTTTTGGTTTTTCGAGACCAGGCTGGCCTCGAACTCACAGAGATCCGCCTGGCTCTGCCTCCTGAGTGCTGGGACTAAAGGCGTGTGCCACCACCGCCTGGCCTTGGCCTATTTTTTTTTTTTTTTTTTAAACGTGTATTCTAGCTTGGCCATGGCGGCACATGCCTTTATCCCAGCCCTAGAGAGGCTGAAGATAAAGACTGTCTCAAACTGAAAGCTAGCCTGGGCTACTATCTCAATACACTAAAAACAAAACAGCGAGAAAAACCAAAACCTCTTTCCCGGCCAACCAGAACTCTACCTCTCCTGCTGGTACTCAGTCCTGCAGTAGGTGCACTTCACAACAGGGTGAGCAATCCGGCATTCCTGAAACGAAAGGAGGTAATCATTTGGAAAGGCACTGGGGAGTGGAAACAGCCAACAACAGGAAGCAGCAGAGCTGGGTATTAACTATCCCTTAGCACAGCCACTAAACTTGAAGTGAGTCATTTAACTTTCTGGACCTGATTTTCCTCCTCTGTAATAGCTGCATCACTTCCCTGCTGTTGGTGTGGGAGTAAGAATTTGTATAACTACTCATAAATTGTAAAACAAATATATGCCTGAATAAGCTCCAGATTGGTAACCAGTCTCCAGATTCCAGGGCTGGTTATCTGCCACCGTGGGATACCAAGAAGGATAACTGGGGGGTGGGGGGTGTGTGAAGGCAACAGATTAAAGCCGTTTTGTTTATAGAACTTCCTTTTTAAAAAGAAAAAAAAAAAAAAAAGAAAGCCGGGCTTGGTGTTGCTCGCCTTTGATCCCATCGCTTGGGAGGCAGAGGCAGTCGGATCTCTGAGAATTCCAGGGCAGCCCGAGCTTCAAGTGAGACCCTGTCTCGAAAACAAAGAAAATTTTACATCATAGCTTTTATGTCCAAGGGACACTGTAACATTGTCTTTCAGACTCGGTAAACATGAGTAGCTGAAGAAGGAAAGAGGGAAAGATGTGAACATCTTTCTTTTTTTGTGAGCGACACACATCAGACACATTCTGAAATATCTGAGAATTCGTCAACCGCCACTTCACACGAGCTAGGTGACTTAAATGTTGCTCTAGTCACTTGAACAGAGAAAGTGGGATGAAGAAACAAATAAAAACATTGGCATTTCAGGGGTTAAAAAATGGTTAGGGCAAGACAGACAGCTACCAACTAGGTGCTAAAAGGTCATCTGATTCGTGTGTTCCAAGGCTAAGCTGGTGAATTCTTTTCATTTTCCCTCGTAAAGCCTTGCCACCTCCAACTTTGAGACTGGCTGAAAAGTACCCATGAAGAGTCCGAGTTCAAGACACTCCTCACAGGCAGCACCCCACTCCGGGGTTCAATCTCAGGAGGGACAAGAGAGGTCCCTGGGCCTTCATTCTGCACCCAGGGCGATCACGGCAGGAGAGAAGGCGGTCCAAGCAGATCTTGCCGGGGGCCAGTCGGGGACAAACAAGAGACTCGCCGTCCCCTCCCGAGACCTCACGGGGTCCGAGAAGAGAACCCCGCCGTTGCTAAGCACCGGGACACGCCGGCTGCCAGGGCCTGGACTCGGCTCCGGGCTCCCCCACGTGCCCCGCAGTCCCCGGCCAGCGGGGCGCCGTGCCTCGGCGAAGCGGGCCGGCCACACCCTGCCCGAGAGGACCCCGGCGGGCGTCCTCGCAGGACCGAGAATTCCGAGCCGCGCCCGGAGCGTCCCCAGCTCCCGGCCGCCGCCCCAGCCCGCGCACCTTGCACAGCTGCTGCCCCTGAGACAGCGCCTCGAAGGGGAAGCGCTGGTGGCACTTGGTGCAGGCGTAGAGCGCCGCCATGTCCGGCCCGGGCCGTGCTCACCGCCGCCCCGCCCGCCGGCCCGCCGCTTTATCTGACAGTCTCAGGCACAACCTGGCGGCGGCGGCCGGCGGCGGGCTGCGGAGGGCGGGCGAGCGGGCGGGCGAGGGCGGGCCGCCGGCGCGGGGGCGGTCTCTCCGGGGCTGAGCGGCCGTTCGCTGGCCCGCCTAGACGTCGATCAGGCGGCAGGGGGCGGAACGTGGAGTTCCCGACCGCTCTGATTCGATCTAGGTTGGACTACGCCACTGTGACGCTCGGAGCCGCGATTATGTAAAGCGCAGTCACGCGGGGGCGCCGCCTGAAGACGGCGTCTTCCGACCCCGGGAATCGCGGAAGCTCTCTGGCTCCGCCCACTCTCCCGCGGCGGCCCCGCCCTCGCTCCGCCTCTCCCGGGCCGCGGGCGCATTCCTGCTTCTCGCGATACTCGGTGGAGTTGTGATGGTTTGGGTTGCCATGGAGCTCCCTGCCTGGCGAAAGAGGGCGGGATCGGGGTGACCGTGCTGCGACGTCGGATTCGAACTCTGAGGCCACCCTGGGTTTGAACCAGGTGGGCAGCCAAGAAGGAAATTCTATTCTCGGAGCAGGCTGGTTTGCTCAGCCCTCTAAGAGGGAAAACAGGAAATTCGGATGAGTCTCCTCTGTGGGCTGGAGAGATGGCGCCGAGGGACTGCTGCTCTTGCAGAGGAGTTTGGTTCCCAGCACCCCCATCTGGTGGCTCAAACCGCCTGTGACTCCAGCGGCAGGGGTTCCCGATGCCTCTGAACTCTGCAGGCACCTGCACTCACGTGCATTTACAGATATTCACACACTAAATAAAATATAATAGAAAAAAGATTTTGAGTCATGTAAACAGGGCCTCCATTTTTACACGGCATACGCTTGCCCAGAGTGTTCCTGGTGCCTCTATTTTTAGCTCCGGGTCGCCAATGTTTTACCATTTTATTATTGCCCACCGTTTCCATCAGACTGTGCCTTTCATAGTAACCCCGGCAATATCCTTTTGAGTCATCTTTGTCTCTCCCTCACTTAATACAGAGCTAACTGATCTATTCTTCACTACTGCCTAGCACGTATGAGACTTTGGGTTTGGTTTGATAAAAAAAAAAGGGGGGCGGGGGGATAAAGCATAGGGGGAGAAAGAGAGGAAGGAAAAGAAAGTATTGGTAATCATTCACACAATAAACCTTTTTAAAGATAGATGGATGGTGCCGGGCGGTGGTGGCGCACGTCTTTAATCCCAGCAGATTAAAGGGAGGCAGAGGCGGGCAGATCTCTGTGAGTTCAAGGCCTGCCTGGTCTCCAAAGCGAGTTCCAGGAAAGGTGCAAAGCTACACAGAGAAACCCTGTCTTGAAAAAAAAAATAATAAATGGATGGATGTGTTTTATGTATTTGGTTTTTCAAGAAAGGTTTCACTGTGTGTCCTTAGCTGTCCTGGAAGTCGCTCTATAGACCATGGTGGCCTCAAAATCAGAGATTCACCTGCTGCTGCCTCCCGAGGGCTGAGATTAAAGATGTGTTATTTTTAATTTGAATTTTATGTGTGTGAGTATGTGCACATGAGTACAGTGCCTATGGAGGCCTGATGGATTCCCCCGGAGCTGGAGTTACAGGCAGTTGTAAGCTGTCTGACATGGGTGCTGGGGACCAGAACTAGGGTCTTTGGCAAGGACAGTATGTTCTTAACCTCTGAGCCATTTCTCTGGTCACTCACTGAGTAAGTGTTTATTGAGTACTTACTATGTGACGATTCTGGCTTAGGCACACAGTCAATGAAACAGACATGATCACTGGGCAGTAGTGGCACACGTCTTTAAGCCTGGGCTACACAGAGAAACCCTGTCTGGCGGGGGGGAGGAGACAATAACAACAACAACAAAACCCAAAACAACAGCAAAAACCAGACATGATCTCTTCCTTTGTTTAGCAAATCAGCCAAAAGGGGCGATGAAAAGTTAAGACAATGCAGACTGAGCATAGTAGTAGTAATGCCTGTAATCCCAGTACATGGGAGTTAGAGACAGGAGGATCAGAAGTTCAAAGTTATCCTTGGATACATACCAAGTTTGAGGCTAGCTTAAGATACATGTGATCCAGGTTTTTTTTTGGGGGGGGCGGGTTTCGAGACAGGGTTTTCTCTGTGTAGCTTTTGGAGCCTTTCCTGGAACTCGCTCTATAGACCAGGCTGGCCTCAACTCACAGAGATCTGCCTGCCTCTGCCTCCCGAGTGCTGGGATCAAAGGTGTGCGACACCACCGCCTGGTTGTGACCCTGACTTTAAAAAAAAAAAAAAAAAAAAACCAACCAGCCAGGCATAGTGGTGCATGCCTTTAATCCCAGCACTCAGGAGGTGGAGACAGGAGGATTACAAATTTAAGATGATCATCCTTTACACCGTGAATTTGAGGTTAATTTGGTTTCCTGGCAACAAGGAAGAGAACAGATTGCCCCAGGCTAGAGTTAATGCCTACCTATCATTTTAGGAGTCTCTCGCAGCTGTCTAGGCTAGAGGTGATGGTTTAAAGGTTACAGTGGAGAAAAGTGATGGATTCAAGACATATGTGGTGTTAGAATCAGCAGGATGTACAATGGATTCCATTTGGAAGGTGGTGAGGGAAGGGAAGGTATCATGGCCAACATGCCCATCTGCTGTGGATATCGCTCTGTATAAATAAAATGCTGAGTGGCCAGTAGCCAGGCAGGAAGTATAGGTGGGACAAGCAGAGAAGAGAATTCTGGGCAGAGGAAGGCTGAGTCAGGAGACGCTGCCAGATGCTGCCATGACAAGCAACATTGTGGTGGTATTATGTTCCCCAAAATATTGTGCACCCTAATAAACTTATCTGGGGTCAGAGAACGGAACAGCCACTAGATACAGAGGTTAGAAAATGGTGGCACTCACACCTTTAATCCTAGTCTTCTGGAGGCAGAAATCCCTCTGGATCTCTGTGAGTTCAAGGCTACACTGGAAATAGCCAAGCATGGTGACTCACGCCTTTAATCCCAGGAAGTGATGACAGAAAGCAGAAAGGTATATAAGGCATGAAGTCCAGAAACTAGAAGCATTTGGCTGGTTAAGCTTTTAGGCTTTTGAGCAACAGTTCAGCTGAGACCCTTTCAGATAAGGACTCAGAGGCTTCCAGTCTGAGGAAATAGGATCAGCTGAGAAACTGGCGAGGTGAGGTAGCTGTGGCTTGTTCTGCTTCTCTGATCTTCCAGTATTCACCACAATACCTGACTCAGGTTTGATTTTATTAATAAGACCTTTTAAGATTCCTGCTACACAACATGTAAGATACTGGTAAGCCACGAGCCATGTGGCAAGGTATAGATTTATAGAAATGGGTTTATTTAAGATATAGAACAGCTAGCTAGAAGCCTGAGCCATTAGGCCAAACAGTTTAAATAACATAAGAGTCTGTGTGTTTATTTTATAAGTGGGCTGTGGGACTGCCGGGGCTTGGTGGGAGCTGGAGAGAAATGCTCCAGCTACACCCATCTACGCGTGCTGTGGTACTTGTGGCAAAGGGAAGATTAGAGAGGTAACTTTCAGTGACAAACCAAAAAGGATTTTGACATGTTAAGCCCTAGATCACATGGGACGTCCATGGAGAGACTATCTACTTAGTAGATTCTTTCATTTTTTTAAAAAAGATTTTATTTATTTTATATGTATATGAGTGTTTTTCTTATATGTATATAGGTGCTTCATGATTATGCCTGGTCTCCAAGGAGGCCAGAAGAGGATGTTGGATCCCCTGGACCTAGAGTTACAATAATCTGTGAGCCACTTCATTGGGTGTTGAGAATTGAACCTGGGTCCTCTGCTAGAACAAGTACTCTCAACTGCTGAGCCATCCCTCCAGCTCCAGTTCAGGAGCTTTTTAAATCTCTTATAAGTAAAATGGAGATGGAAGGGGTTGTTTTTTATTTCTTCAGTGCTAGGGACCAAGCCCAAGGTCTCGTACACAGGAGGCTCCCAACCCCTTTGGTAATCCCCAGCCAGGAAGATAGTTGTGTTTTTTGTTGTTGTTGTTGTTGTTTTTGTGTGTGTGTGTGTGTGTCTGTGTGTGTGTGTGTGTCTGTGTGTGTGTGTGTGTGTGTCTCTGTGTGTGTGTGTGTGTCTGTGTGTGTGTGTTGAGGCAGGGTCTCATGTATTCCAGGCTCACCTCAAACTCTATGAGGTCAAAGATGACCTCTGAGCCAGGCAGTAGTGGCACACACCGTGAGTTTGAGGCCAGCCTGGTCTACAGAGCAAGTTCTAGGACAGCTAGAGCTTTTACTCAGAGAAACCCTGTCTCAAAACAACAACAAAAACCAATAACAACAAAATAAAAAAACAAAAACAAAGCAAAAAAAATACAGTGACTTCTGATTTCCTTGCCTCTAAGTACTGAGACCCCAGGCCTTAGTCACCATGCTCAGGATATATGGTGCTGGGGGTCAAATCTAGGGCTCCATGCCTGTTAGGCAAGCATTCTTCCACTGAGCTACACTCCCCAAGTCTTTGTTTTTAATGTGTATAAGTGTTTTGCCTGCATGAATGCATACCTCTATACCATATGTTTGCCTGGTGCCCTTGGAGATCAGAAGAGGGTGTTGGCTCCCCTGAAGTTGCAGACAGTTGTGACCCACCATATGCATGCTGGGACTCAAACCTGGGTCCTTTGTAAGGGCAGCAAGTGCTCTAAACTGCTGAGCTATCTCTCTAGCCCCTGAAAGATAGAGTTTTGAGAGGCTTATCAATCTGCATGTGGAATTTAATGTCCTGAGACTGAATATGACCTTGGAATCATAGAGGGAATCATAGAATCATAAAATCACAGAGGCAAAAGTAACCCTATCCAACTGTTAGAGGTCCAGCTGGAGAGGAGACAACCACAGAGGAGCTGTGAGTAAGAACATGCAGAAAGGGCTGGAGAGATGGCTCAGTGGTTAAGAACACTGGCTGCTCTTCCAGAGGACCCAGGTTCAATTCCCAGCGCCCACACGGCAGCTCACAACTGTCTGTAACTCTAGTTCCAGGAGATCTGACACCTTCACACCAATGCACATAAAATAAGTTAAGAAGAAGGAGAAGAAGGTGCTGCAGAAAGAG